GAAAGAGGCACGCATAGAGAAGAGCAGATAGAAGGATGGACTGAGGTTCCAGGTGTGCCCACAGGAGTAAGAATCAGCTGGTTTTAGCATATCCCCTATTCAAACACCTTTCTTCTCAGACTGGCAGCACACAAATAAACTCCATTCCTCTTCTGCTTTTGTGACCAGCACAAGAGCCCAGTAATTGGATACTGCATGTTTAGTCAGCCCTGTTTCACCTCTGTGCAAGACAGCGACAGGGACCCAAGTTCCTTTAGTAAGTGGGAAGCCAGGCTTTCAGCAGTCAGTGTTTGTGCCACTCACCATGAGATGTGCCCTGGAGATCACACACCTCGAGTCGTGCCCAGCGGCTGAAGGCAAAGGAAGACTCACTGTTCACTCGACAGATGTAAAAGCCAGAATCATTCACACTAACTGGGTTCAGAACCAGCTCTGGGGAGTTACCACGGGGCACCTGAGTGACAGATGGACAAAGAAACGTTTACATTTAGACTGATTTAATCGAAAGCAGGATCAAACACTAGGATATGTATTTCAATGTGTATAAAACCAGCCTCAACTCCTTTACTTATGTGAAACTCTTGGATGATTAAGTCTTGTTCTGCATAATTAGCAGCTCAGAGATAGTCTTTCTTCCAAGAATAATTCATGCCTTTATTTAAGACAATTCTGAGCTTTTGAGCCAGTTGAAAAGCTCTTCCTATAATTAGTAATTTCTACCTTTCTCCACAAATAACTCAGCATAATTTCTTAAGCACTACTCCAACCAGCATGTGTGTCACATTTAGCTCTAGCCTTAGGATAAACTAAGCATGACCATGAAACTATCATACTCTATAACAGAATTTCTTTTTTTACTACACCTATATTTTAACTGTAATGAATGGGAAATTACAAAATAGTATTTTTTAAGTCATGTTTTGGATGATCTAGATAAATTTGAGTCCCACCAGCAATTTAAAATACCATAAACTTACTGCATTTTCAAAAATAGTACTAAAAAGAAAAGAACATTAAGCAAACTGTGCATTCATCTTGTAGAAAGATAACCAGGATCAGAAACATGGGCTTAAGTGCTGCCATTCAAATTCTAGAGATACCAGCTCCCATGCATTCCAGTCTTTTACAGTGTATAGCAGTCTTCTCTCATTGTAAGTAAGATTAACAGTCTTAAAAAAAATAATTCCAAAATCATTACCTGTTGTTTTCACCATTTAAAAAAATTATATTCTATATCAACTATTACCTCTTTTTCCTGCTTGAACCACTGGTAATGCACAAATGGGTGTCCTGTTGCCCAACAACACAGCTTGACAACCTGACCAGAGAGCACTGCTTGAGAGTCTGGCTGCACAACAATCTTTATACCTTTAAAAAAGAATTTACACATAGGAAAGTCATTAAGAAATACAAGTCCACAATTTAAATTTGCATTTAAATTGTCCTTTGAGCAAAGAAAGGTTCTGTCAGTAAATGAAAATAATTTGTTTGTACCGTGTATACACCCAGTTCCAACTAGTTATATCACTTTAAGATATTAAAAATTGTCTTCCATTCCACAAAATCCATGCTCAAATTAGCAGTACTCTACAGAGTTTACCAACGATTTAAAGTAGGTTATTCAGGTATCTTTATTTTAAGATACTTCAGTCCCTCTTGCTCTCTCCTCACTAAAGCAACCAACACTTCCAATGGCATCACAGACCTCTTCTGGGAGAGGTATGCCCAGTTTTAAGGGTTTGCTCACCCCCAACAATTTGAGTTGGTAATCTTCAGATTCCGATCAAGCACAGCCTGAGGGATGGACCAAAACACTTAGTTACTTTAACTACAATATAGTGCATTTTTCTACTATTCCCTGTGCAACCTTATTAGCTGAAACACTGGTTTCAGGTTTATGCCTTTAACTCCTGTAGAACACAGGGCTGGGGGGGGGTTTCTTTTGCCAATATGCAAGGTAAAATTTTCCACTTCAAATTTTAGCTGATAGGAAATAGCATGATACCAGTCATGCGAAATTCTGACACCAGTCTGAGATGATCCAGTTGTTTTCTTAACCTAGACCATTCCAGAGATCTTGTTACAGCATGACCCCAAACACAGACCTAGGCAAAAAAGTCAGCTGCAGAACAGAGAGTATTCCAGATTACTGGGGGAATAATCTTACAAAATAGCACAGAGTGAGCCAGAAGCTGTGTAAAAAAATAGCTGCAAAGACATTGCAAATATCCCAGTACAGGACTCAAGGTTATAATTCGCTCTGAGCCTTCTTGTTACAGTCTGCGAGGAATCCTTTTTTTTTTGCTTTCCCCCCCATCATGTGTTTAACAGCTTAGCTGCATCCCAGAACTTCCTCCTAAGACAGAATGTTTGAGGAAAGAAGCCATAACAATGTGATCAATGGGCTGAAACCTGAGCAGAAACCCATGTGGTCAACAGACCAAACCATAAGATGAAGCATTTGGAAATCCCATAGTCTTTGTCTTGCAGGGAAGTGGGCCATAGTCACTTCCTCCACACACAGCCTTATTCTGAAATAGCTTCTCACTCAGGCAGCTACTCTAGGGTATCTACAGGACTTAAAATACCTTTCTCTGAAATAACTTCCCTCTCCACCCCACTGCTGGAGATCATTACCTCAGTTCCTCATCTGACACTTCCCCTGATGTTCCTCCTAGCTGAAGGGAGTGTGTTAGGTGCAGTTTTTGAGCATCACAATCACCCAGCATGAACCAAGACAAACAGGAATTATGCTTCAATTTAAAGGATAGAAAAATTAAGATGACTTGCTCTCTATCCCAAGACTTCCACTTCATTTTTTTTAAACCATTCCTAATTTGCATCACTAACATCTCTTAAGAAAGTAGTCAAGAAAAAACAAATTCTCCGAAAGATTAGTATTTTGCACTCCTTGGAAGTATTGCAAACACGTTCTAAGAACAGCTTCCTTTATTTTCCTGCAATTCATTCACCACTGTATGATTACTTCCTGCAAGCATCACAGAATTTAATGATTCAAAAAGAATACCTTCTGGCTCAATTTTCTGAATGATTACAAAGATACACAAGTACTTCTTCAGTTTTCCTTGGAAAAAGCAAAGCTTGAGTTTTACCATCAAGGATGGCAAACTGACATTTATGGTTACCAGACTTTGAAACATTCAGTGCAAATTAAGTACTCACAATCTTAACTATAATCCAATTGTTATGAGCTTAGCTTACACACTGGTAAACATTTTCAGCCATTTCTGGAAATTCTGCCTCAATCACACTTCATTCAACACATTTACTTGAAAAATTCCAGGGATCTTTTCACATTGGTTCTCAGCCCATGGCTTCTTTCCCCATGCTGTCCAAAGCACAGCACAGCTATCAGGATGGGAAGGTGCCTGCTACTCTCCACTCCCTGTTCTGAAGAGAAGCTTTTGCAACTTCCTAGTAGGCTGAACTTCAGCACATTCTGAAGACAAGGAGGTAGAGAAGGGCCCTGGGTTTGTACTACAGCAAGAAGCACCTGGTCTGCATGGGCTCACCTGTGCCCTCCCTGGTGTTGCCTCACTTCTAGATGTTTTGTGAAGAAGCAAGCTGCAAATAATCTAGTTCCATCCTAAGTCAGTCTGTTTTTCTGTCCAATTAGCAAGCTGGACTGGATCCAACATGCACCAGAACTGGCACTAACTGGACCCTTTCCTTTCAATTAGGGTAAGCTGTGAAATGCAGGGAACAGAACCAGTAGCCTGAACAGATGGCTGGCAACACTCCCTGCCTTTCTCACTGAGCTGTTTCAGTTCCAGAAGCACCTCCCAAAGGAACACCCTGACACCAAAGCCAAGTCAGCAGAGGGAAGGACAGCACCTGTCAGACCCACACGGCTCAGCCCAAGCCCACAACAACACTGCATGAGGCCTGCTTATCTACCTGCCTTGCTTCCAACTCCAGAATCATATGAGCCCATTGCTATGGTAATCCTGCAAATACCAACTGCTAGAAATCAAACACTGAAGATGTTCCCACTTACAGTGGAAAACGAGTACTCCAGCGTTTCCAGTGTAAACCACACAGCTGCAGTGAAAGCACAAGCCAGAACTGACCTGGATGGCTGAGACACTGGAGAGCCTCTGTGTGCTCCAGGGCCTGCAGGAACTCCACAAGCTCCACCACAGTGCAACCTCGATCTCCCAGCAGCTTCAGGAGACTCCAGCTGGGACTTCCTTCAGGCTCCAGCACTTTGAGGGAACACTGTTCTAAATCCAGAGGGCTGCAAAATAATATGAAAAAGTCATGGCATAGATCTTCTTACTACTTTTTCTTCAGAAAGAATCAAGTTAGAAGTAATTTGTAGACAAACAAAGAGATTTAAAAAAACAAAAAGAAGGAAAAAAAAAAACCAACAACACAAGGAAAGAAAAGAAGGATGGGAAATTCCCTGCTGGTTTGGACATATTTGCAGTATTTCCTTCCAGTTCAAGGAGCTCACAGGTTATACGGTGACACCTCTGCAGACAGAAAGTGGTATTAATGAGTTGCCTGCTACAAAACCAGACATGCCTGCAACTAACAAATCTGACCAAACGTATTATGAAATATTCTAATTTTCACTTTTTAAAGCCTCAGCAGAAAAACAAGCACAGCACCTTTCATTTTCATGTGCCTAATTCAGAAGTGGTGAAGAACATATCAGAATCTAACTTGAAAGTCCAGGAAGACTTTGATTTTCAGAGTAGTTGTTAAAACAAATGACTGATGCAGCTTAACTGATTCACACACCTACTGCTACAGTGCACAGAACTGCTCCAATAAATTCAGCTCCAAGTGTATATGTAAGTTTTGCATTTTGGTGTAAAGTCTTCATGCACTTCCAATGACAGCAGATTAAAATAACATCGATAATAAGGAAATTAATACAGCTAAGGCAAGGGAATGCAAGTTTTTGAAAAGATTCAATGTTTGTTTCATTAAATCACAGTACTGTGCAAACCTGGAGGGCAGACACTTTTGCTTATGACGTTGACTTTCACAGTATTTTACTGGCTAGTAGAGATACAAAGACAGGAACAAGCCCTCCACAGTGGTCACATTGTAGTCGTCAGGTTCTAGTTTTCTAAATTAATAAATCCATTCCTAAGAGAAAAAAGGCACATCTTCATCAAGTGCTGTGCTTGGCTTGCCTGGGGTTCTGAGGTACTGGCCTCCAAACAAACTCTTGAAAAGCCACAGGAAGTCAATCGATGAGGAAGCAATCTAGAGAATGCGACCCAGGCAGAAGGAGCTGAAGAAAAGGAATGTGCGTAGCCTAACACAGAGAAGAGCAGCTACAGGGAACAGGCAACAGTTTCCACGTTCCCTCTCCGGGGCCCACAGCGTCCCGGCTGAGGAACGGGGGTGCCTTCCAAAGGCAGCAAAGAACCGCGGGACCTGCACCCCGCTGCCTCCTCAGGTGGGGCTGGGCAAACATCCAGCGCCAGGCTGCGTGTCCTGCCCGGACGCCACTGCTGCTCCGCCGCGGGATGCGGGACGGGCGCGGGCGGGCGGCTCGGGCTCAGGTGGAAGCGGCAGCCGCACGAGCCCGGCACTCGGCTGCTCTTCGCCCAAGCACACACCCTA